CGAAAGTCCTTCTCAACATACCCCGTAAAATCATCAATGTTGAATCCACATAGTTTTAAATCGTCTCCGAGGTGCGAAGATGACGGAAGGATTGAAACAGTTGGGGGTGAAATATTCCCAAAAAGCTAATGTCTCATATTTCCAAAACTCGGACTTTACACTGGTTTTCTCTTGAATACACCCCACCACTATCCTTCGATACAAGTTGAACACTACGAGAGCGTTTGGAAATATCGCACCATTATTCGTTCATTTATTTGTTCATTTATATTATCGGCAAATCGAACTCATTACGAGTTTATGCCTTAACAATATCACTGATATCATTATATCACCACTATCACATCCTTCCTTTGTTGGCATTTTTCTTTTCCTGCATCTAACGATAATAGCGTTGGGAATCATATGTCTTCATGAAATTCTAACTCGGATTATTGATTTGGCAAGCGCAGAGGTTTCGGACTACTCTCCCATATTGCCCAATGCTTTCTAGGTAGAGGGACTCAAAAGGATCTCGAAAATATATTCCGACTGATCGATCGATTGAATACAAGTCCTACGATCGTTCAAAGTAGTTGTTTGGAACAAACAACAGTAGTAAATTAGTAATCTTTCGGTATCAGTAATAAATAATTAATGTAACTGAGTAGATCCATAGCAATCGGCGTATCAGACATTCCGTAATCAAGCAGTAACGAATGCCCGTTGCCGTAAATAACTTGCACCTTTCAATACAGCCGAATACCAATTCATTAAACAATCGTAACAATCACGAACATTTTACCGATTGCACGGAGCGATTGGCAGACCAACCGCTCAGTGTCCAAACATTGTTCACTTATTGCTGTTAAACATCGCCTGATCGTTGCGCGATCGGTTCTCGTTTATTTGTTCTCTCGGTTATTCTGCGAGAAATAGGCCTTTCTTCGGCTTGCTTGAACTGTCGTCTCTTCATATTGTTGTTTAGACAAGTCGTTGCGTAACACGTGTATCGTATCCTGTACATTCCTCCAATGCAACCAAACATATAGGACAATTGACGTAACTTACAGAATTTAAACGCAATAAAGTTTAAAACCCACTACAAATCGTTCAAACTTTAGTCAACTGGCACCTGATCCGCATTACATTCCGCGCTACTCCGTCATTTAACGAAATGGAAAAACTTAAGAGATCAGCATTTCATTCGTTTGTTTGATAGCTCAATCGGTCAGATGTTCAAGCGCAGTGTTTTATTCAATGAGTTATATAGAGATTATTTTCTATCGGTGTCTCAAATCATTTCTCTGAGGTGCAACAGTTATATTTGATTTAATTATTGTAAAAAGTTCAAGAGGATACGACCATGTAAACACAATTGAAAAAGTAACCAAGGAAGTGCAGTTCTGCCGTTGAGATAAAGATATCGAATGAAAACGTTTGAAGTTTCCAGGATGATTTAATGAATTCTCTTTTTACTGGATGGATTCAGCATTATACATAGTCTCCGAAGACAAATCTGCTGTTCATTCAGTATCCCTGGGCTCGAATCCGAACCTCAACTGAACTTGACCTTAAGGACTCACAGTTGGAACCTCAACCTGATCCTCCAATTACATTTATAATAGACATCGATTGATAGAGTGAACAAGAGTTGTATGGAATCGACTGAACGACTAAGATTGAAATTCAGTTTTCAGAGGTTGTTTCGTGTCATATGTATCAGACCTGGATTTTTTGCATAATCCGCCCGATTCCATTTTCACGGAACGTGAAATGCCACCACTTCCAGATGGTGAATACATTGGTATCGGCGCTTCGAAAGGTGTTAAACTAATTGAGGGTCCTCGTGGGCCTGGAAGCGCGAATGCTGCGCTATTCATGGATTGTAAGCAATTCATTCACATATTCTCTTGAAAAGTTTTCCTATTATGCCCTAGATAATATGGATATCGAACAGAGACATCTCTAGTCCGTTCTTATTGTTAGCATTTCAACTACCTCTCACCACTATATTGAGTCCGTGGTTAAGCTTAAACATATGTGGAGATTTG